ATTCATTCTCACATGTTTAACACACAAACCCTGCATATTTAGGCTGAGTTTTTCTCTCACACAGGAAACACTCTGTTCCACCTGGTGATGTTATGTGGTAATACACCTGTAGAATCGTTTGCATAATTTCATTCCTGGTTACTTTTTGCCTGAACAAAAGGTTAAAGGTAGCTATTAACTTGAAAACTACCCCTCCATAACATCACATGGTGGAACAGAGCATTTTGAGCTTTGAACACAGACCAATAAAAAAGGATTACTCAACCAAAAAAAACCAAAACAAAACATATGTCTGGGTATGTTTTTGATGAGATAACTTGGCTCACAATAGTCAATTTTGCATAATATAGGATCTTTAAACTGCATGTATATATTTTAGAACATATAAGGTTCTTGACCTTAAATGTTCCACCTCTTTACAGTCTCTGTAAAACATTCTGTACCAAAGGTTGAGCTGAAATCCTCCCCTCCCTATCTAACCTGAGCAGCAGTCATTCCATCATCCCATCTGGTTATTACATTTGCACGTCGTGTGTAGGCCCACAGGCATTGGGGTTATTTGGGGCATATTAACACCAGTGCCACGTCAGGACTCCTCAGCATCCCTTCTCCGGACAGCTCTGAGTCCCCCCCCTTCTGCCTCTCTCATCTGCAGCTTGTAAAGGCACTCATTCAGCCCCTGCACAGGCATAAATGATCAAAAATTGCCTACATTCCTCCTAAAGCACAGCGGGCGGCCAAGGAGAGAGAAAGAGGGAGAAGGAGGGAGAGAATGAGTCAAATGAGAGATGACAGAGAATGCAAATAGAGACGAGGCGAGGCGGCTGAATAGGGCGCAAAGGAAGGAAACACTATTGGTGGGAAAAAGGAAGTTGAGGATGTCAGATGAGGAAACTAGGATACAGCAGAGGAAAGCAGAAGAGGAGAAATAAAGGAAAAGTAGAGGGCTGGAACTTTTCAATTACAGCCACACATACAGACAACAAAGAGCCAGATTTCAGGAGATTATAACAGTCTGTAGCCCACAGGGAAAAGCTCATTTAGGCTCCTTCACTACTCCTCTCTGCACATCAATTACAAGTAGGAATGTTTAATACCTTCTTTTTGTCGCACAGCAAATGGAAGCTTATCATGGCACAGAATCAACAATGCAAAGGTTTATTCAAGTTTGTGAAGAGCAGCAGTTAAGTTGGTAAATTTGCCCACTTACAAGAAGATTTGTGGTTTTATTGCACTGGTGAGTTAGTGTGATTGTGTTTTTGGTGCTGAAAGTCATATAGAAGATAAACTTGAATCCAAACCATAAAGCAGAATTATCTATGAAAACTATTCTAAATGTAAATATTGTTGAGCTCCAATAAATCAACAGCAGAATGCAACACTTAAAGGTGCATTGTGTAACTTTTCTGGTGGAGGGTCCAACAAATGCTTTTCTCCATGGACATGTTATGTATGGAATGTTTCACAGTATGGTATTAATTAAGCCTTTCTATCATCAAGTTAAAGGTAAGATCTGTGGAGAGGCAAGCCCACTCACAGTTAAAATGCTGTTTAATGTCCAGATTCCAGGCAAAGCTTTGACATATCCATAGAAACAAGCAGGTGATGGACCCCCAACCAAAAAGTCACAAAGTGCATCTTTAAGTATTAAGTAGTTTGTAGTAGTAATTAGTAGTAAATAAAAATAAATAAATAAACATGCACATAATCATGCACATTCCGAGTACATTTTTCTTGACTTTTTAATGTATCCAGAAATAATTCTTATTATGTGTGTACAATTTTGTATTGTTTAAAAAATGATAACATAGATAGTAAAAATGTACTGTATAACACTAGATTATTGTGGGGTTTTTTTTCATTTCAGTTTTTCCTTAGTATGAAAATATGAAATGTATGATTGTAACTTACCTCTACCAATACAGCTACTACTTAATACTAATACTGAATCATATCTTTTTGTTGCTTCACCATTTGTTTTATCATGGCTCAGACTCATCGTGTGGTGAAGAGAATCCTCTCACTGGAAGATGACAGAAATGTTGAGTTTCTATGGGAGTGGATTGGGTTTGACTGAGGCTGACCAGGATAAGATGATATGTGTTATTGAATTCACTCTTAATTTGAGTCTGGCAGGAGAAATAAAGCAGGCTTCTGAGGCATCCTGAATGTGCACATTGAGTTACTTCCAGGCAAAAGGAATCAATGGGAGCCATGCATTGATCGAGCAGCATCATGGATACAGACATAGCAGCCCATTCAACTGCATGAACACCTTTGTACTACTACCAAATATTCCACTACTAATTGCTACTAAAACTATGGTATTGAAACTAGATACACATTTGAACATGTGTCAATACTGCAAACAAACAACATTTATTGGACAAAGCCGGGCCTTTCCTGAATAGCTTTAGAATGGTCTCTGTTTACAAGACCACATGAAAAAGCTAATAATGATGTTGTCCTGAAAAGCTATTCTATTTCCCAAAAAAGATGGGTTTTTTTTTTCTTTGGGGACTGAAATTGTATCAATTATTATTATTATTAAGTTTTTCAATATCAAAACTAAGTTTGAAATATTAGTATAGTGACAATAGTAACTGCCCATTGTTTAATTCTTTCTCCTTCATAGTCTAAATCATGAGATCAAACAGCTGAACTTCTGGAAATGGGACCCCTCTGACAAGTTGTCCAGTTGGTGTCCCTAAGCAGGCCCATCAACAGAATTCTGGGGGCCTTGGGCAAGAAGCATCACATTGCCCCCCCTCTAATATAAAATAATAGGAACATGGTCCAATTCTGGCCCCCTAAGACCCTGGGGCCTGGGCAACAGACCCCCCCCCACCCCCCATCCACTACCCTGCTTATACTAGAAAAGTGATCAAATATTATACTTTGATCTAAAGTAAAATCGTTTTTGATTATATATACAGCTGAAAAAGTTTACTACATCAAAATAAAAATCACAATGTGTTCACAAAAATGTTCACAATGATATAGAATAGGTTGCCTGATCGGGGGTAATGTCCACCCTGGGCGCAGCACAGGTATAGGGCCCTTCTCAAAGTCTGTAATGTGAAGTTTTATATAGTGAACATGTAACAAGGGCACACCAAGATGATTTGTACCCGGCGTCCTACACCCAAGAGCATGCAAAAGTAACAAATATGTATATACTGAAACACCTTGGGGAAGGTTTCAAAGTCATATCCTCTGGAGAGTTTTCAGGTAATTAGAGCTGTACTTCTACACACTCCAGTACACAGAGCTCAAAAGTCCGGATTCATTTTTCGCTTTGTAATTTGAAGGTTTTACGGCAGCTGTCTCTCCTCTCAGCGTTTGCACAAGTCAAACGCATGTTACGCCAAGTCTGCACAGCAAGAAAGCTAAAGGGAAAAAGTTACAAACTATACAGGCCCGTCACTCAAAACACTTATAATCACAGTATGGCATCAAATCAACTTCTGCAACACTGATAAGGTTGATAAATAAAATATACACCCAAGAATCAACAGGAGAGCAACCCCAAAACACACATACCGGTTACAAACCCTTTTCCCTGCTGCTTATCTTACTAGGAACAAAAACACACACAATATTTTTGGGGAGGGAGTTATGATGTGAAAACTAATGTAAGTGGCTTTCATCACCTCACATAAAACCTTTTTTTTGGCATTAATGGTCTGTAATTACTTTCACTTCTAATTCACAGCAATGTGCATGTCACTGCAGAAGAGGGAGAAACTGTGCTCAATAATTAGCCTATTATCGGGAACATTTGAACACGTTTAATGTGCTCCAATCATGCTGAGAGGGGAACAGCCTGTAATGGCGAGTAATGGGGATAAATGGGGAGATACAGAGAGTGACAGGGGCGGCCATTACTATGTGCACATCACCATAATCACATAAGAAATCACTGTGGGCCTACCTTCTGCTCTACACCACGTTGTCCTGTGACGCAGAAGCTCATGACTCCACCAAGTGGCCCAGATTGGAATACAGGGGAAATATCAATTCTGCAAAACATACTCAACAGAACAGTTCACGGATTATTTTATGTCGTATATAATGCAAATTCAATATTTCATACACCGACACTGCACGTGGTAGCACCATTAGCTACATTAACCGCCACGTGGCCCAACATCAACTTGCCGAACTAATTTAAATACCTCTAACCTCACAGTGAGTAAAGTCTGTATTTTCAACTTACCACTGTGCTAGCCTACTTCTCCATTATTAAAAAGAGTAATGTAGTTGGGTAATTTAAGTTATTCGTGAGTGATTATTAGTCTAGTCCGTAGGTGACACTTGATGCCCTATAAATCTAGCCTTGACCATAGCGACAAATACAGGCAATGTTTCATGACCAGATAAGATCTGATAAAATTTCATAAGGTTTTCACTTTGCCTGGCACAAATTATTGCTGGCTCCGAAACACTCATTTGGCACACAGTCTTGCGCGGCACCAGAGCGAGAGGTGAGCAGAAGGCTGGAGAGACCAATAGAGGAGACAGGGGAGGGAGGGCGTCAAACGCGCTAGAGCCGGAGCGCGCCTTCATTCATCCAGCCGCGCTCACACAGTGTTTAGCGGGAGCACAGAGAGGCTGCCTCACAAAGGATTCTTACAGAACATGGAGCTCTTTCCTATTCAATCTCTGGGGACATCTTAAGTGTTTCTGTGCGTCCTCCCAATGAACTCTGCCTCGCGCCTGTAGTAGATGGAAGCGCGTCATCGCACCGATGGATGGAGGAATGCACTAGGAAAATACGAAGTGGTAATTAAGTTCTGAAAGTGCAAGATCCAACAAGCTTTTGCCTTTACGGACATACAGACCGTGCATTTTAGCTCTTATCTGATTTGATTTTCGGTGCTTGCTTCATATTGCAATATGCGAGATGAAGTGGTCAACATATGCCTTGCGTGTAGGTCAAGTCCACGCGTGAAGCTGCTCTTTCGTGCTGTGTCATCCTCAGTTCGGGGAGAATGAGGTGTCTCTGGGTGAAGCATGAGCGGTCAGAGGATCAGTCATAAGCGGCTGTCTCTGCGATGGAAGGCTCTTTGGCTCTACTTCTGCTGCTGGACGTCCGGAGCCGCAGCCTCTGCCCCCGGACAAAGCGACTCCACGGACTCCCCGGGGTCCCTCAGCTGGCTGCTGTCCGATAAAGGACCTTTCCACCAGTCTTTGGAGTTTAGTGAAGCGGCAGAAAGGTACCAGCAAGGCTACACCACCAGGTACAAAATCTACAGGTGAGTGCTCGCAGTTTGGCACGTGCAACGTCAATTTTTTTTATCACAACTGTTTTCTTACTTCAGTGATACATTCACTAAATAACTGTGGTCAGAGTTGGTAGGTTAGGTCACAGACAGAAAGAGTGCCCTTGACAGTGACACTATGAATCCTTAGTGCCTATTCCTTGAATTGTGATGTGTGTGTGTTTGTGTGTGTGTGTGGGGTGTGTGTGTGTGTGTGTGTGTGTGTGTGTGTGTGTGTGTGTGTGTGTGTGTGTGTGTGTGTGTGTGTGTGTGTGTGTGTGTGTGTGTGTCATAACGTGTAGGAATTTAGACTAACAATACAAGATTTATTTATTATTGATTATCCCTTTAAAGAAGACCCTGCATAGAACATACCTTTTACAGAATAACTGAATAGCTGAATAGTCGAACAGGTATTTTTGCAAAATGATAAATTACCCTAAACTCTCTCATTATTGTTATAGAGTTAAAAAAAATATTAAGTTTAGGTTCACTTTTTGTTGGAAACATTTAAGACCCAGGATTTTAGGGCCTACAGACTTCTGATCTTTCCTGAGTGATGGTGGGGCTGATGTTTGAGAGCTGCTTTTCGGTCTACTCCACATTTTCGACTCTGATTTCTCTGATGAGCACTTTGAGTCGGAGAGGACCCAATCAGTCTCAGCAGATGTTTCAGTGTCTCAAATAAAAACTTGTCCAGATTCTGATTTGTCTCGATATGCAGGTACAGCAGCTGCAGCAAATTAGGTGGCGAGCTGATGGGGCCAATCTCAAGATGTACTACTTAAGCATGCAAAACAGACTGGCTCCTCTTTACAAATTATGTGATTGGAAAGTAATCACTGATCAAACCCATTAGCATTTGGTTTGGCTTTTGATAATTATATTTTGCTAATGCACCAAATGACCTCTGTAGGACTCTTCTGATTGGGGATATCTGTCACATCTTATAACAGGCTTCAAGCAGAGTGCCATTTCTGTCTATAAATCTGTGAGAAAATTCCTCATTTACATTTTCATCTCAGTAGCTGCAAAGGTTTTTGATGGATTTCCGTTTCTTTTTATCAGTCTTGTGGCTCTATCTGGGCTGGGCCTGTTTAATGCATCATACCTGGACAGTGTCTGCTCTGCTGGTGGACATTGCCAAGGGCACAGAAGAGAAAGGAGGCTTTATTGTGGAGATTTGTGGCTTTATGAATCATCTTGTCCATTATCTCCCCTCAGGAATCTTTTACTCTGTGGTGTTTATCTCGCGGTGACGCCTGCATTTTGTCAATACCAAAACCCCCCTTCATAAATAGATTCCACACCCTGAAGAGGCGCCAGGCTTGGCTGATGTGTAATACATTGCTGCTATTAAAAGCCAAAAGCACTGACTACAGCCCAGTGAATTTTTATAATTAATAGTTAAACAGTCTTCTACCAAAAGCCACTCAACTTCACTTTGATTCAAACTATTTGCTTTTGTCAAAACTAAGCTGCACTAAAATTTACAGAAGGGTATTGCATTCAGTTGAATTTCTATTTTACTTATTCATTTAGGTATTTATGTATGAGAAAAGTTTAATTGAAGACAATTCTCAGACAGGAATGAAGTATGTGTTGTCCAGTCCCAAGCTCAAAGGAAATGAGAGGATTGTTGGAGGCCAAAGTGACAAATAGAGGCCACATTTTGTTAGTAGAATGGGCAAGAAGATTTACTATACAATACTCAAGTTTCTTCTAGAATCTAAATCAAGAGCAAAATAAAATGCTGTTTTTGGCACAGCTTCACAATCTGCTCAAGTATCACATTATTTTAGTGTCCAAAATGCATTCAACAACACAAAATCTGTGTAGTCTGCACTTGAGAGTGACTTTGCAAAACAACATAGCTGAAGGATCAGAACAATTTGGCTGCTACACCTGGTGTCTTGTGTTAAGCCAAAGCCCCCGCTGGAAGTAATGATGAGAGACACGTGTTTGACAAGGTGAAAGGAAAATGAACCAAGGATTAAGTAGAGACATAAGAAGACCAGCTCCTGTTGTCCACAATGAAAGAAAGAGTCAGGACTAAGGCTCTGTATTACACATAATTGACTCTTGTGAGCTTTAAGTCATGTTAGAATAATACCTCCTCAAAAATATGTATAGAGTTGCATTACCACATGACATCACAAGGTGGAACAGTGTTTTCAGTGTGAAAAGAACTCAGCCTAAGGGTTTGTGTGGTAAACACGTGTGAATGAAACAAAACTCAACTCCAGGTACATTTCACTAGCAAGGAACAATGGTACATGATAAAGATACTGTATTTATTGACTGGGTGGGTGAAGACACAGGATGGGGGCTCTGTCTTAGGTGGTCAGACCAGCTGACCCAACCTCGAGACCCACCCTCCCCCTTTGTAGATGATGTCTTCAAGCTGAACAAGAGACGGGTGAGAGGGAGGGGGTCGAGAGAGATAGCCGGTGCTGTTGGAATAGGCCTGTATAAATAGGACGTCTGGGTAACTGAAGGTGTAATTTTAACTTCTTGGGTTCTTTTTAAAGACAATGCAGTAAACACACTTTACTGCATTGTCTTTAAAAAGAACCCAAGAAGTTAAAGTATATAAGAAGACAAAATGAACATCTTTTGCTTAACTGAAGGTGTGGTTGAGCTGAGCTGTGGGTCGCTGGGGATGAGCAGGGGGAGGCTGAGGTGTGGTCCTGCTCTTGAATCTCAGTCAATCATATTAATTCCACCTTTGATGAGGAAACAATTCAGAAAATAGATCAGAAATATCAGAATATGGGCCCTTTAAGTATTTAGTCACATTATTCAATTTAAAGCACAAATGTGTCAAATAATTCATATATCCTTGAGTTTGACCAGCACCAAATGTGACCATGTAGCCTTCATTCATGAGCAGTCTGTCCCCTTTCCACATCTGCTTTGCTGTTACTCTAAGTCACTGTGCCATTTGTGCATACTGATAGAGTTTGCTGTAGGCTATACCCGGGGCTCCTCATCTGTCCACCGGGGCCGGTCACTCTCCCTATCCCGTGATATGGGATGATCGAATATAACTATGACACATATGGCACAATGTCCCCCTTTCCCCAATTACCTCTCTGTCTGTCTCTTGTCTCATAGCAGGGATTTGATTGGGTCCTTGGAGGCGAGAGTTGGTACAGCGCAGTCATAGAGGTGTAGCATTTGCTGCTGCTGTGCACTGCTGTGGAGCTATGGGGGATCTCCCTGCTGGCTCGTGAATATCAACGGTTCAGCTGTTTGAAGTTTTCCAAACTGTGTGCGCTAACAAATGGAAAAAGTGACAATTTTTGATGCTCTTTTCGAGTTCTTTTCAAATTATTTTTTTATGCTGAAATGATGGTATTTTACTGTTGGCTTTGGCAATGAGCAATTAAAACATGGTACAAATGTGTGATTTTGCCAGAGGCTGTGAACTGCTATTTTGTATTCTGATTTCTACTGCTATGAGGAAAGAAACTGGTGAGAATTGTTTCTTCTGTTAAAAATATTCTACTACATCATAAGACATTAACTTGGGATGAGAATGAAGCAATAACAACAACAAAAACAACAACAATAATAATAATACATTTATTACGAATATGTTATTAAGTAAGAATACAGAGTGCACAATGGGGCATATAATACTTTAAAGTAGGTTAGTTGCACTATTAAGTAAATGTTGAAATTAATAAGAACAAAGAGACTGGTGAATTATTTATAAACTGAACTGCAACAACTTTTGAAGTTATACGTTTAAAACTTTTAACATTTAAAACAATATGCAGGAGAAAGTCTTGCCTCAAAAGACCTACAGACTGACAGGTGAGCTGCACTACGTGAAGGTGACAGCTGACATTACTTTACTGTTAATAATGTGTGGGACGTGCTGTTTTTGCACCATGCATCCACTTCATACCCGTTTCATATATTTTCATTGGGGTTCACTGAAGGACATTTCACAGCTTCTGTTTTTTCGTATTTCTACAGTTTCTAGATTAGAACCTATTAATACTGTGGCTCAAGTGACTCATCCCCTGACCAGAACATCTCAACCCAAAACTCATCATTACACAGGCTGTTCTTATGTCCTTGGGCAATTTTCCATGCCTCCAAGGGCTGATAACAGTTAGTGTGTAAATGAAATATTACTGCATGATCTTTTGCTAGTACTATGGACATTTTTGGGCATTTCTTTTGTTAATTCTAATTCAAATTTACATTTACCATTAGTAGGCTTTGGTGTAGTTCTTGGTTTAGTTCATATAAATAAGTAGTAACAGTAGTCAATGATATGCACTTTATGTTGCATTTGTTTGAATGATTTTAACAGTTTATCTTACAGTTTATCTTCTTAAACTTGTACAACATTTAGCTGGGGTTAATATGATCAAAATTTTCCACTTCTATCTATGAAAGATTACACTGGATTATTCTTCATGTTAGCATCCTGACATCCACTATAAATACTTCTCCTAACCTTCACCAAAGCCTTGACTCTACGTCTGGAATATCGATCTTTTCCATAGCAACAACATTATAGACTGCAGCTCACTGTTGGAAGTGTTGTTTTGTTGTGTATGTCACAGGGAGTTTGGTCGATGGAAGGTCAACAGTTTGGCCGTGGAGAAGAGGGACAGTTCATCGGGCAGCGGGGGCCTGTCTCCACCCCTCGACCCCGAATTCATGCACGTGGTCCGGCAGCTGGGGCGCCGGCCGAGTCTGCAGACCATCACAGAGAGTCTCATTAAGAAGTATGGCACTCACGTCCTCATCTCTGCCACACTGGGAGGTACGCTACACTGAACAAAACAGCTCTGCTCACAACATGAGGGGGTTTGTCAGCAGATGGCATCATAGACTATGAAACTTAAACTCAAATAATATGATGTTAATACGCCATGGAGAAGAGTGATACATATCTACTTCAGTGGTGAAAAAAAGGTTGATTTTTAACTAGGACTGGGCGATATGAGAAACAGATTAATCATCCTCATATTGATCAGTTCAACTTAATTACATTTTGTCTTTTAATATTAATTTCCTAGCAATTATTAAAGTATGTATTATGTATTCGTATTTCGAAAATAGTCACATTTCTTTCTTCAAAGTCTTAACTCAGCTCCAAACCATAGGATTTGGCTGTAGACCCCTTGATTAGAAAGACCCAAGCAAAAAATTGTCAATCTCAATCAAATTTGATTAACTTCACAACCAAAATTTTAAACTAATATTTAAAAAAAAAAATAGGCATTTGAGTCTGTTGGGTTTAATTAAAATACAGGAATAGGAATGCAGTTGTTAAAGAAAGTTCTCTCTTTGTACAGTTTATAATAAGAACAAATCTGCTAAACCTCTCAGTTACAAGACACGATTTTCAAAAATTCTAATTAACACATAATACAGTTTATGACCAGTAATTACAAATGTAGATTGCAAGCAAGAAGATGAGCAACAACAACAATGTTTTTGTATTCTTATGACACTGGTTTAAAGGGCCCATATTACACTAATTTCTGATCTAAGTAATAATGTTGTTTGATTTGCATCATTTTGTTTCATTCACATGTTTAACAAAGTCCATACACCTTCACTAGAATCATTTGGATTTCAGCCCTGAAATTGCCAATCTCTACTGAACAAAAGGTAAAAGATATCTGTTGACTTGAAAACAACAGCTTTATGGCCTCACAAGGTGGAACAGAGCATTTTAAATTTGGAGATGTAGACAGACCAATAAAAGGATTATGTGTGAATGAAACAAAACACAACTACACGCTACAGTTTTTGATGAGGTAATAGCATTCTAACTTGACTTAAAGCGGATAACAGTTCATTTTGCAACCTTAGCCTTCCTTCCTTAGCCATAGTTTATAGACTTGGTTTAGATCTGGTGGTACTAGGAAAGCCAAATATTGTCTTTGGTGTGAAAAGCTAGATAAACTAGTGTAGACTATTAGACTGACTTGTGGCATTATGAGAAGGTGACTGGTTCTTGGATGCTGGAAAAGCAGCTAAAAAAGATTGCAACATCAGCGTCACATATGGCACCCCAATCTGAACGTCTGTTGTTTTCTTATCCACAAAGCCCATAATGCATTTCTTGGATCAGTGGTTTGCATTACACCCTGCACCAAATCACTGTTAGAGAAGTAAATTGGGGAACAGTGAGAGATTTTAGTTTATAGCATGAGATGCCAAAGGGAGGATCTTGTTTGTTGTAGTTTTATTTATATGCCACCGGCTGGTCCGCTATTTTTCTTATAAATCGTTATCAATAAGCCTTAACCCAGATGGAAAATGAAATTCAGCTGGAACTCCCTATTATTATGTTGTACTCAGTATCAGTCTGATGTCTGGCTTTTATTTTACTCCCATGAATACGGTAATTGGCCAAAAATCCGCAGTAAACATACGGTTTGGCTGTCACTGTTTCAGAAGTGGAGACAAAAAATTTTTTTTCCAGTCCCGCTATTTTGTACCAATGTTGAAAAAGTGTCTCCAAGCTGAAATCCATCCAAATCCATGAAGGAGATAAATTCAGATGCTCTGACACAGAAACACAAGTTCACAAAGCAATTTAGAAGTGCTCTCTCTCCTCCTCATAAGCAGACCTTCAGCGTCGGTTATGTGTGTCGACTCTGAGATAGTGTGACAGACAGACTAGTGCTGGCATTAAAGTCAAGAATATGATGCAAATATAAATGACTGTTTCTAAAGCAAAATGAAATATTATTGAGAAAAACATTATCTGAGGTTTTATTGACAGAATTATTAACAAAAATAAGTTTACCAATCTCATTGCTGTTGAATACAAAAATACAGCCTTAGACTATGCAGATGACAATGATGGATGATGGATTGTATGAATGCTTTTTCTTAATATGTCTAATTGTTCTAATTGGTATATGTGCCTTTTTGTATTTATTATGTACTCAGCATGGTGCCATGAACAACATTTTGGTTGTTAATGACCTTGGTATGGACCACTTGTGGATTCTGATTCACAATTAATGAACTGTTTAAAGTATGTAACTACACACATATCCTAAATTGTTAATGTTTCTCTTTATGGCCATAATGGTGATGACTTTATGGTGTTGCTGGCTCCATCTCACATTGTTAGAGGTGTCAGAGGTGCTGTACTTTAAGTGAAGTGCCTCTCTGAATGAAGAGCAGCTGTGATTTCTGGACCACTTAGCCTCAGCAGTGAGGTCAAATCTGTGTGTATCCGTTTGTAGAGTGTGCATAAAAACATTAAGAAAATACAGAGTGATAACAGGCCTCTTAAAAACACCTGTTTATGGCTTGAATGAAAACATGTTTTATCTTTTACACCAAGAAATGTTCCTCAAGGACATAGTATCACCTATTCCCAAAACATGCATGCAAATAGTAACACTTGTCATTCATTGGAGTATATTTCGCCTTCAGATGCAGAGGCCAGGTTCTGCCTTGCTCCACTCTTTCAACCACTAATCACTGCTGCGTTTCCACCGATCTATAAAGATGTTAATGAAAGATGATTAGCGCTGCTCAGTCAGAACTAATGAAGCCCCGGTTTTCTCTGCGGCACCAGGGGAGGAGTCTCTCACCATATTTGTGGACAAGAGAAGGCTGAACCATGAGTCTCCATCTGCAGACAGCGAGGCGGCCAAGTCCAACTGGACGGGGGCGGTGACACTAGAGACACTTCACCAACTGGCTGCATCCTACTTCACCGACAGAGAGAGCACTCTGAGGAAACTGCACCATCTCCAGATCGCCTCCAGTGCCATTCGGGTAAGCCAGTAAATGAGTAAGTGCATATATATATATATATATATATATTATATATATATATATATATATATATATATATATATATATATATATATATATATATATATATATATATATATATATATATATATATATAATATTATGTTATTATATTATGGGTCAAACACACAGCATTAGGATAAAGATTCACTTGCTGTAGATAAATGTTTTGTTCTGACATGGTTAGGCTTCATGTATTTGCTATTTGTATTTAAAATGCAATTGAAAAACTGTGCAAAAAGCTCAAAGTGCACCATCAGTGCACCAGATATTAAAAACAACCATATAAACAAATGAGTGACTTAGAGTCATTACAGGCACTGAAATAAACAAGCTACTAAAGATTAAATAGCTAAATATATTAAGTGTTACATCAAAGTTCAAAGTGCATTGTTTAAGTTTAGAACATTTTGTAAAAGCTGTTACCAGTCTTACATTTAATGGAGTGATAGCTTCTTCCAGAGGGAAGACGCTCTCACATGTCTCTGCAGGATGGCCAGAGGGGTTGTGTATGATCTGAAGGGCTCGGTATAAAAAATCTACATTTGTAAAGAGCTTTGAGGACAGATAGGTCACAGTTCATTTTTTTCTTTTGGCTGAGCGGACCATCTTGTTTGAAGCTTTCCTCTCTTTGGCTGTAATGTTACCAAATACAGTGATAGAGCCAACCAGAAGGCTTTCAATGGTGCAGCGATAAAAGTTCAGTGGGATCTTAGGGTTCTTTGTGAATTCTTTTAGGTTTCCACAAAAAGAAAAGCCACTGCTGTCTTAACAGTTTTGCTTGTGTTTTTGTTCCAGCTCAGATCATTAGACAAGGTCAGACCAAGAAATGTACACTCTTCCACAATTTGAACATCAACATCAGCAATTACAATTGGTGGATGACCATTCTTACAAGTAAAATCAATTACAAGTTCACAGCTCTGTAACATGTTGATCAATCAAATCAACTGGACTGAACTAAAACTAAATAAAGGTCATAAAGGTCATAACCCCAAAATTAGGGACTGCTGGTTGAGCCTGTTACTCAGAGTCAGGACAGTGTACTTATTTAGTCTCCCATCTAAATAAAGCTTACATTTTCTTCGAGAGGAAGGTAGGGCTATCGAGTATTGAACACTAAGCTGTGCACATAGTTCTTTTCTTTGCTTGACAACTTGTTGAACACTCATTGTTTGAATAGCTGATTGCAGTGTGAGTGGGATCCCATGCATTATCTTGCCTCACAGCTTCAATTGCAGGTTGAAGTAAATTCTGAAAGAGTAGCAATAGTTCTTTAACACACATTTAACTGGCATAAATGGTCAGATTGATTAACAGAAAAAATCTTACAGGTTTGCTATGTGAACAAGCTGCTTTAGGGTCATAGAAGTTTACCTCTTTTAAATTTAAAGAGCTGAGTATGAATGGAGCAACGAATTATGGCCACCAAGGCCTTTTGAAAAGGTCAGTATGGAGTTATTGCCATTGCAAGGCTGCTTTTGCACTTGGTTTGATGTGTTGGGAGTAAGACATGTAGAGAATTTAAATACTGTTGACAATTCATTAACATACACTATTTCAACTAGTAGGAAAGATATTCTGAATTTCAACAGCCTGTCTGACTACATCACCTTCACTGCACTACTTTACATCAGGTTAAATGAGTTTGCTGAACTCCTAACAGACTTCTACTGCTTACCCTGAAGATAACGATTATGTATAAATCACTTAATATTAGCTCAAGGTATTCATTTACTTAATTCACTTAACCAGGCTGGATTAGGAACAAATGCATGTTTAGAAACTTGCCTCGATACATAAAGATTTACCTGCTGCCACCACAAGGTACAGCTAAGCAGGCAAGATTAAGAATAAGAGTACCGGCTGTGACATGTTGCCAAATAAAGTTTTTAAGACATGTTTGAGAAATACGGACGCTCTATAGAGCACGCTTACAAACACCAATCATCAATTTTCTTATGTGGAGTGGCTATTACGCTGTATTCATTATTCAGGCCGAGGGGCAAACTGCGCCTTTAGACTGTGCGTCCCATCTCCTGAACCGGTTATGAATCAGCCTGATTGATTAGAGATATCGTACCATTAATTTCCAGCCAAGGTCCTCTCCCCATTTACTTTAGCAGCATGTGTGGAGCTGAGAGGCAAATTAAAGATGAGAGCATGAGATGAACACTAGCACCTACAGAGCAACACAGTTCATTAGCGATCGCTAGCAGCTCGCCATACATGCGCTACGCTAACATGCTCTGAGTAGTACTTTCCTGAACGCCAACATTAATTACGCTAAGAGGCAAAGTGAACACAGTTTGAAGGTTTTTACAGGCAAAGGAGTTGATTCTTCCTTTCACATCTGAACAAATTATTCTGTGTGAGCATAGGAATCTTTATAATTGAGGACCTTTACGGTACTACTTCACAGTGACTCAGTGCATTAGAAATTCATTTGAGGCATAAAGAGCTTTTGATGAAGTATCTCTTGACCTTAAGATTTATTTAGTTTTAATGCAAATGAGCTGTTATTTACAGGACACGCTTCAAGGACTTAATGTTCTTTGTATTAAAGTGAGAAACGGGCTACAGCATTTGCAAGAATGACTGTGCAAATATCAGATTTAAAGAGCAGCATATGACAGATTTGACATTTCACTAAAATGTGGGTTAACGTAAGTGGATTGAAGAATTTGCTCAAAATTTTCTATCTATAGATACTTTTTTTTTTTTAAACAGACATGATGTAAACTTAACTTAAATGAGGTTTTAACATAATAGTCTCCCCTCATCATTGGCTTACTCCAAGTTGCATTTTGATTAGTTCATTCATGTTTGACTCATCCTGAGCTGTACTATATTTGAGGCTTGAGTGTTCGGAAAATTTCGGTTTCATTCTGTTTCTCGGGGTCATGTAGAGTTGAAGCAATTGTTAGTGGTGAAATGTCACAATGAAGAAGCAGGGATTCTCAGTTGTGTACTTTAATCAGTAAGTCAATGCACCCATTTCTATGTCATTTTAGATCAATATTATTATATATCATAAATTATATAGATAGATTATATAAATATTGATCAAAATGTAAAATAATGATGTTGCATAGATGAAGTGTAATGTAAAAAGTCTGCCATTGCATTCTTAAATTGTTTAATCTGCTTTTGTGTATTGATAACATTACTTTTATTTATTTTATTTTTTTATTTGCTTCTTGACTGATGCAAACTAATCCATATAAAAATATACCACATGTACTATCCCACCAAACAAATGCAGTCCATCTAAATATGATTAAGGCCACTGTATGTGTGTTACAGGTGACTGAGACCAGGACGGGCCCCCTTGGCTGCAGTAATTATGACAATCTGGACACAGTGAGCTCAGTGCTGGTCCACAGCCCAGAGAACAAGGTCCAGCTCCAAGGTAAGAGCCACATCCAACTCTGGACAGCTCTATCTGTTCCACTAATTTAGGCTGTTACAGAAAGCTGGCTCATGATACAGGTTTATGGACAGCCTGTACATTATTTTGTGTGAAAAAATTTTTACAATCTCATAGAAAAGTTGCAGGGAGGAAACACTGTAATAGTTCAATTTCTATAGGTACCAAAAGCATTGGCCAAGGGCATTATTTGTTGTAGAAATTGCTCAAGTAGTAGATTTAACAAAAATCTGTGACCCAAAGAAAGGAACACTCAACACACTGTGGTATTAAAGTCTAGCAATGATTCCCCTGTAGAGAATGTTATAACCTTCAATAATCTGGGTCAACTATCGGCAACAAAATGGCATCAAGGACTAGGTTAGAAGTGTCCTACGTACAATCGTGCAATTATTCATTATCATTATTTATTCTCTATTTCAGATAACGGTATAAACAAAAAAAACAAAAACAAAAAACAACAGTATCATTATCACGGCATCAACACTGAGTTTGAAATTTTAGTATAGTGGCAACACTTAATAGATTTGAGAAGAGCGTTTTGGCCATCATTGCACACCATTGTAACAGCCACTAGAAGCCAAATGGGGCGAAGGCTTGCCCAAAGATACAGCAGCAGTGTGCTTTGAGCCAACAGCTCTCTGGTTCCTTCACTATATCTAAGTCTAACAAAATACTTTTATTACTTAAATGAATTATTCTTGCTGTTCTTACTCAGTATGTTTTTTTATGATGATGTTGCATTTAACTATGAGATTTACCCCTCTCAGGCTTGCAGGTGCTCCTCCCTCTTTACCTGCAGAGTCGTTTCATCCAGGCGGCGCTGGACTACATCGGTTGTAAATCCGAGGGCGAGTTCGTCTGCCGGAGTGGAGACTGCTGGTGTCGCTGCAGTGTGGACTTCCCTCACTGTAACTGCCCACTCTCTGACCTGAGCAGTCTGCAACACAACTTGCAGCGCGTCCTTGAGGCCTGGAGGAGCAGCAATCAGGAGTTTGAGCAATCTGGTGAGTGCTTGGCATTTACAAGTATCCAGTAGCGGATAAAGTAAATTTTGTAAGTTAAAGTAAAGATAGATACAGATGTAAAAATAACTCAAGTAAAAGTAAAAAGTATCAATTGAAAAAATCTACTTAAGTAAAAGTATTTAAGTACCAATTAAAAAATATGCTTAAGAGTAAAAAGAAAAAGTATTTCACATATTTCAAGTGTTGTTCATTTGATAAAATGTCATGACACTGATGTCAATATTAAGCCAAAATAATGCCTTAAGTCATATGTAAAGTCCTTTTACTTTTCAGACCTGTTCAAAAATGTAATGGAGTAGAAAGTACAGATACCTGCTTTCAGATGTTGTGAAATAAAATAAAAAAGTGTCCACTGTAAAATGTACTTAAGTAAAGTACACATACCTGAACATTTAAGTACATGCACATTTGGGTTTAAAATATCATAGACAATTTCTGAACTCCTCTATTCGTGAATTCTGTGGGATGGTTTTCTTGGATCGAGTTCTTTCAATCTACCTGAGAATTAATACCCCATAAAGCCTTTTGAAAATTCATGCCTAGCTATATAATACTGCCAGACTTTAAATCCAAAGCCTGTCAATCTTGGTGTCATATCTGAAATGGTTTCTGATGTTTTCTCTGCGCTGGAACGTGTCCAAAAACACCATCCATCTGTCATCACTCAAGTCCAACAAAAATATACATAACATCGGCCAATACAAGGACGACTCTAATTATGACTTTGAAGGTTCAAAAAAATATATTAATGCATTCAAATCCAGACCAGCTGTATTTTGTTTATTTGTTCCTCATAACTTGCTTTTGAGGTAGACAACTGGGGTCCCTCACACAATCACACAGATACACAAAATAAACATAAAAGATACACAGAGAACAGTATGGTTTAACACGGGGGAAAAACACACAGTAAATAACCTTAAATAAAAAAACAATAACACAGTGTTACAGCTAAACGGACATCTTCTAAAAACTATTTTCTAAAGTCATTTCCCTTATGGATCAATAAAGTTTGCCTACGTCCAAGTCTAAGCCTCTATACTGCTTGTTTTGAAAGAAGAAAGCAATCTATTCCTCCAAACAGCAATCCCATTATAGTCCATTATACTAGTCGTAAATAAATTGCTCATAATTGTCCTTTGCTATAAGAGGAAGAACTTCGGCAATGGCAAAGTAAATTAAAGTCCGCGGATGGATCACAGTAGAATATTAACTACTGTCACCTTGGATATTTTGGTAAAAATTCCTCAATTATTTTATAAGTAATATGTGAAACAGGTTTTACTGTTCATTTCAAAAGGTGATTTTTTGATTATTTTTTTCTTTATATATATTTTTATGTTTGTGTTTTTACTTATATTTTATTATATTTTTTTAAATGTATGTTTTATTTGGTTGTATCTGTTAACAATATTAAGCTGCTTATTTTAGGGCAAGGGTGGGGGAATAAGTGGGGATAAAAAATAAACATAACATAAATATTGTGTCTACTGTAACACACAATAAAGTATTAAAAATAAGGTGAATCTTATATTCTTTTTAGGTGACACAATACATTTTAAAATATAAATATACAAATACAAATAAATATAATTAATATAATGAAATACAAAAATAACAGGGTAGTACAGGGCTTCGATATAAACTGCATATGAACACTTAAGCCACATATTAGTTAGTACTATGTGAAAAACACAGAATCCAAACATACATTATACAAAACTAAGTGTCTAAAATATCAAAGGAAAATGCAGTAGTGTTGAAGGGAGTATACTCTGAGCTTGGCCCCATGTGGTCTCTTGCACTGTGTAGTTCAGGTGTGGTAACATGTGAGGGAATATCTACATGCTCCTGTCATCTGCCTACAGCATTTTACAAGTGAGATCAAAGCTACACACACATCACTGAATTATTCTCTCAGGCTGCACTAAAATGCCGGAGAATTTCTGTGGTATTTTTCTTGTTGTTAAATCACACCACACAACCAAGGCAACCAGAACAATTTATTTATCGACAAAAGCACCAGAAAAGTTGAGTTTAACCAGACGCTAGTTACCTTGAACATGCTGACAACAGGTGTTAAGAAAAATCCACTTAAGTCTAGGCGAGTTTAGTAGTCCTCAACAATTCATCAGTGGTGGAACAACAATGTAAACATAGTACTGTACTTAAGTATACAGTTTAGGTATCTGTACTTCACTTAAGTAGATTTAAAGTGGATATTTGTTACTTTTGCTTCACTGCATTTTAAAGTAGGCAACTGTGCTTTCTACTCCACTACATTTTTTAACTGGACTGAAAAGTAAACTTAACTCTTTATTATTGTGTGAGATCTACTAGGGGTGTGCAAAAATATTGAAATATTGATATATCGTATCCTTTAATTCGATGACACAGTATCGTGGGCTGCTGTATCGATATAACACCATTATAATACCAGTATTTTTTGTTATATTTTACTAAACTATTTTGATACAGTGCTACAGTTTCGTTATTTGATTAGAGAAAGGAAATTCATTTATGCAATACATTTGACATATTCACTGTTTTGGTGATTAAAATGGGTGAGTTTTCATATGAACTACACAAGAAGTAGTTTAATAAAGACTAAGTTTCACAGCCATGATTTAGCCTTTATTTTTTTCTTGAACCGTATCGAATCAATTTGAAATATATCGTATCAAATCGAAAGTGCACTGTATTGAGATATGTATCGTATCGTGGCCTATGTATTGAGGTATGTATTGTATCGGTAACTTCTACCCAGCCGTAAGACCTACTGAAAAGACTGAGGCGTTTATTTTTAACACCTTTTTAGTTTAGTTTTAGTAAAAATAATAATAATAATAATAACAGCTAGAAAAAAAAATCTATTCAATTGTTTCTGTTGAACAAAATTCAGAAAAAATCTAAATCACTTACTTGAAGCTTTATTAGATCTCAAAATCTGTGCAAAGTAAATTTCTAATACTTTTACTTAAAGGTGCATTGAGGAACTTTTCTGGTGGAGGGTTCATTAAATGCTTTTCTGCGTGGAGATGTTGCTTTGTCTGGAATGTTTCACAGTATGGTATTAAACATTTCTATCTTCAGGGAGTCCAATAGTTACAGATCAGATCTGTGGAAAGGTAGTAAGGTAGATCTGTACCTGTTTATCTAGGTATTTTTGAGCTATAAAACCATGTGTAATTTTATAAATTATTTTCTTGAGTATTTATTTGCTCCACTATCTGTACTTTTTACTAAGCAACAAAAATGAGTACCTCTTCCACCCCTGCAATTCATGCATTTGTTTTCCAAGGACAACCATTGAAAAGTTTCGTGTAGGCTATTGTTACCCCACAGTGACACTTAATGCATGTTGTTTTACTTGTCACCAGAGGAGTTTCGAGGCTTCGTGGACAGACTGCCAAAGCACTACGCTGTGAACACATCTGTGGTGGAGCACTTGTGGCGCGCTGATGCCAACCTGCTACAGCGCTACAGGCAGTTGGAAGCTCACAGCGCCCAACTCTCCTCCAAAGCCCGCCGCATCACTAACAAGCTCTTCAGTCTGAGCAAGAGGTGCAGGCAACAACCCAAAATAGTCCTACCATGGCCCAGGTGAGTCGCAAAATAACACCAAGGGAATAGTCAGAGCGCAGCCTGTTAACCCAAGATGCTGCTAGAAATGTATAATTATGAAAGAGACTGGGCGTTGGGAAAAGCAGCCAGGCGAAGCGGTGGTTATTAGGAGGCTCGGTTGAGGAGGGAAGTGCTGACAGGGGCAGTGAGGATTCTCTGTTAACTGGAAAAGACAAGGTTGATTGTCCGTAGAGACAATTTTCACTAACACTATGCAGGCTGGGTCCAAATCGCAATAAATTTAAAACAAAGTATTCTTCTATTGGACAGATTTTTTTCCTCTATCACTAACTCTTCAGGGTGGGTTAGTCCACAGGCTTCTAGGCATGAGATTGTTATTTGAAGCAGTCTGGATGGAGGGTTTTCCAAGTCGCTCCCTCAAAGTGTCTTTTTGCATTTTCAGCAGCTCCACCATCTGTTTTAATATCTATCAGAGATCACTTTGGCCGTAACTCTGCTCAGATTTATGCCTCTCTCATGAACACTCCATATTGATAGCTATTTCTGGCTGGAAATTAAGTAAATGACACAATCCATCAGCTCAATAGTGAAAAGCATGCAAAGCTCCCTCAGTCTACAATCCAATTACAATTTTTATCACACCCCTTTTCTCTATAAAAGGAAATTCAGGAAAATCAGTTTTGCATTTAAATCTGTTCTGAGGGAAATAGCATTTTTATGTTTACGATTTGCCTTTTAGCAAAAATATAGTGTAGAAGTCGTTTTTCATTGTTACAAATAAAAGCAGAGCAGAAAGACATGCTTCTGAGTGCTGTCTTCTGCACACAGAAGAATAGGTTGATTTGGATTGGATTTAGCTTCTGAGGCTCCAGCTGAGACTGTGTTTGGATAGAATGACAAGCATCAGTGTGGCGTGTAATAATAGAGAAACTGTGAAATCATAAAATAACAAAAACATGTGACAAGCGATTCATATGCCAAACGTGGATTTATTGTTGAGATAATCACTAAAACATAAACCATATGCATAATGTACTTTGAAATATGGATATGGTGGACATAAATATCTCCTGTCCTCAGCAGACCGCTGCACTTCTGGCTGAGCTTCTGCCTGTCCAGGCTGTACTGCAGTGAGAACAGCCATGTTGGAGTGTACAGTGAGGAGGGCCGCAGCTGCTCGTGCCCATACGCCCCCCTGTCCTGCCAGGGTGTCATCCCCTGCTCTGTGGGAGAGGGCTCCCGCTGCGCCTCCTGCTCCACAGAGAATCGCACGCGCTGCTCCAGCTGTAACCCAGGCTTCAGCCTGACACAGGGAGCCTGCCGGCCCGCTGTGCCCGACCCCACTGACCCCTACCTGGGGCTGGAGAGTGATCGTGACCTGCAGGATCTGGAGCTGCGCTACCTGCTACAGCAGCGCGACCCGCGCATCACTCTGCACGGGGTGTTTGTAAGCAACGATGTACGCATCAACACCTGGTTTGACCCGTCCTGGAGGAAGAGGATGCTGCTCACACTCAAGAGCAATCGTGTCAAATCCAACCGCGTTCACATGCTGCTGGGCATCGCGCTGCAGTTTTGTCTCACCGCCAACAGCTCTCTGGAGCCTGCATTCTCTCTGTTTGTCAACCCATTTGGAGGCAGCCATGCAGAGAGTTGGACCATGCCCATCGGCCAGAGTGGATACCCCGACTGGGAGCGCACCAAGCTGGACAGACCAATGGACTGTTATAACTGGACTCTGACTTTAGGGAACCGTTGGAAGAGCTTTTTTGAGACTGTTCACTTTTACTTGCGTAGTCGTATCCGGGAACCCACGGGAGGAAATCGTACTACGGTGTACTATGAACCGCCAGAGCCCACTGAGCCGGCCAATAATGTGGGCTACATCAAAATCAATAGCATGCAGCTGCTGGGGTACAGTGTGCACTTTGACCCAGAGGCCATCCAGGACCTGATCCTGCAGATTGACTATCCGTACACTCAGGGCTCCCAAGACTCTGCCCTCCTGCAGCTGGTGGAGCTGCGCTACAGGGTCAACCGCCTCTCTCCTCCAGGGGTGCCCCACGTGGACCTGTTCTCCTGCCTGCTCCGACATAGACTCAAACTGTCCAGCGCTGATGTGAGCCGCATCCTCACGGCTCTGCAGGCCTTCAGCTCTAGACAGCCCCAGCACCAGGAGTATGAGGCCAACAAACTGTGCAGCTAAAGACTGTCTCCTCTCAATCCATTTGTGTTACATCTGTGCTATGTTATACATGCAAATTGTGCATTTCAAAGGTTTTTACAATCTCAGTGTATTTTTATGAAACAATTGTTGTCAAAAGGAATAATTCTGTATTAAATAAGAGTGAAGAAAATAGGAATAAAGTTTGGGTACAAACTCTCCACAGGTTTGTTTTTTTACAAGTTTTGTTTTTTATTAAAGATAAAATGATTTTCACTTTTTGTTGCAAAGTAAAAACATCTTCAATTTATTCTGCCTTTATTTATTTACACAAATTATCTTCTGTTTTCTTCCAACCACCACTCTAAAGTCATTGTGATTCCAGAAAGCTTTTTATTCATGAGGACCACTGCATTTTAACGGCCTGTGCTTTGGTTTTCATACAATGCTTATTATAATATTCACAGTTTGTATTAGCAAAACTGAAAAACTAAAGGAAACTCCACTAGGTTTGGAGATTTAAGTTTGATATTAAGATTATTGTCACGTTATATTTGTTGTCAGAGCGTTGGCATGCATCAAACTCAGTCGCCCTAATCTGCCTCACACATTTAGCGTGTTTGCCACTAGAGAGCTGCAGTGTTGTGTTGTCTTGGCCCATCTGGAGGCTGCGTATACAAGGTCTCCATTCTCCCGTCAGGGGCAGGCGGGCACAGATTACTAAGTACACCACGCTCCTCTGCCATTCAGACTTACTGTGATGGATGAGGGCCTGCATCAAACAGCAGCCCCAGGTGTGTGCGACAAGGATACTACATTTTGGTTTGGCCTCTTACAAAAGTGTCTCAGACCAAACGGGAAGTCATCTTTAATGCCCCAAAGGGCTAGAGCCTCTGGCGCTGCAGCTTTGATTAGACTAGCATCTTAAGACGCAACTTCATCAAGATTCACCGGGCACGTCTCTCCCGAGATTTAAACCAGACACAATTTGCTCCGATGTGCCTGTTCCAAATGAATGTGAGGAGGCGGGCTGATGCAGATCTCTGCGATGTACTACACCAAACAAAACCGCTATTCTCAGTGGTACGAGTATAAAGATGTTAAATGATTTTAGCAGTAAAGGTTGGCAAAGCTCAAAGCACTGGTTACATCACTATATGTTGTAATAGTCTTTGCCTTTAGTTTGAAATATTACAAATATCTATTAACAGCACAACAACTGAATCAAAATTACTCCTTCAAAACTGTGTGGTGACTTTAAACTGTATTAAAATCTGAAAAATTGACAATAAAAATAAACAGATATAAGACATACATTTTTTAAAATGACGTGATGTTTAAATAATGTGCAGGTAGGCGGTGTGCAGGAGGCAGAGAGAGGGGAACAGGAGCAGTTGGTGTGTGTTTAATGCTAACATTGTGCATCTGGCTGTGGAAATGTGCTGCAGTGGGAACCAGTCCAACACACAAGAACAGATGAAAGACAAGAACATATGAGCTGCTCTCATTATACTCACTACACTGGCAAAAACAGCACATGTTCAAATACTCAAACACATATAAAACACATTTATTTAGACTAAGAGAATACCCTGGGTAGGCTGAGAGCAGACACTAGGTGACTAAACGCCTACTTGAAACACTTTGTAATTGTAGTGGTTGTACAGTAGACCTAGTATTTTGTTGTGCATGCGGACAGTTAACTATGTCCATCTGTATTCTTTTAGTTATTTTTTTGTTTTAAAGGTGCAAGGTGTAACTTGTCTGGTGGAGAGTCCACCATCTGATTGTCTTTATTGAGATCCTTTACCCTTTGCCTGGAATGTTTCACAGTATGGCATTAAAATGATTTATCTCCATGGGGACAATTAGGCGACTCTTCCAAGGTGAGATCTGTGGATAATGGCTCCTGCTAATGTTTTTCAAGGTGTTTCTGTGGAATAAAAATACATATAATTGAATAAATGTATGATAGACAAGTTTAATGCTATACTGTGGAACATTCTGGGCAAATCAACAAAATCTCCATGGAGATAAGCAGGTGATGGATCTTCCCCCAGAAAAGTTACACAATGCACTTTTACCACAATCAGTAAAATTATTGTTAACACACAATTATTCTCTAAAACTAAACTTAAGTTATTCAGCCAGTATCAGTAAGTGTCTGTATTATCCAACAAACCCAAATGATATAACATTTGATGGATGTTTGTAGCAATCAAAACAATCACCGTCAAAACAGTGTCATGTAATGTAACAGATGTAACATGGTTTAGTGCACACGCAGGTTGCTGAGCCATATCTGAGTACATGAGGCTGGTGGTCCTCTGTGGGAACATGAGCTGGACTAATGTGTGTGTGAGTTTAACAAGCGCGCCGCTCGAGAGGGGAGCAGTGAAGAGGAAGAGTTTATGGAGAAGGACAGGCCCAGGGGACGCATCAGGAATAATGGCCGACGATTCTTCAGAGCAGCACAGACGGAGGGTTTTAACAGGCAACAGGGAGGCACGCTGTCAGGCATCACTCCAGCTCACCAGCTCCTAATTGATCAGTGCATTTCAAATTTTTACCACTTTATTGTTAGTGTTTTCCAGAGAGATGTGATTATTGAGTAGAGATTAAAGTGCAATATATAACTTTTTGGTTGGGGGTCCATCACCTGCTTGTTTCTATGGATATGTCATTGCTCTGCCTGGAATGTTCCACAGTATGACTTTAAACAGCTTTACCTTGTAAATGTACTCACTTACAGGTGGTTTTATAGCTCAAAAATACCTAGAAAAACATGTGCTCTGACTGTCAGCTGGGCTGCTTCTCCATAAACCTGACATGCAACTTGTTCTGGTTTGGGCATCATGGAGATAGAAAGTTTTAATGCCATACCATGAAACATTCCAGACAAAGCAAATGCGTCTGCATGGAGAAAAGATACACAATGTACATTTAAATCTCCAGTAGATATTTTGTTTGGCAAAACCAGCTGCATAAATATTAATAAGGAATATACGGGTAAAAGTTTGTCTGAAGAGTTTAGATACACAGAAATGTGAGCACACTACTCTCTTATCCTGTTTGTAGTAAAACAGGATTGCGGATAAGTTCAAACTAGGAATGCACTGATACAATGATGATGCTGATAGAAAATTTTGATGGATGAGATATCGGTACCAAGATATCAGTTCAGTCGATATTCCATTTTGATCTACGAACTGGTGTGATAAGATGATTTACTGGTTGATGTTGGCCCAAAACACCTTGAAATATTTTTCATAGCTGTTCTCTAGTAACTTTAAATGACAAATAACAGTTACACATTTTGATCATTTTTTACCATAAGCTTTGCAGTTAAAGGAAATACATTTTATTTTCAGTCTCTGCCCTGGTATCTCTTGATATTGGGGATAGGCAGATACTTAAAGCCAAAATATACAGACCCTAATTCAAACTATATCATTTGGGGGGAATTAACAAAATGGATCCTACACATCAGCCCAAAAATATCGGCAGAGCTACATCTAGATTCTTAACTACCAGTATTGGCATTAGCCATGAAAAAAAACATATTGTTTGACCTCTGTTACTGAGTGACAGGAATAGTTCAGCTGTTTCAAAGCCTGCAGAGTGAAAAGATTGATTTGGAATATGTGTCTGTCTATAGAATAATGTATAAAGCTAGGCTTCAAATTCATCTGAAGCATAGCAGTAGACTCATTTATTCTAGGGATGAAGACAGTACTGCACCTTCCTCCATATTTGAGGCAAATTCCTGTTTAGGAGTACAGGATTTGTTGTTTGACATTTATTAAATGGAGTAGCCTTTTGAGCAGTGCCATCTTGTTTTTTTTTTCAGTTCTTTCAGTTCTTGTCATGTTAAGGCAAGACAAATGTGATTATGTTGAGGCACTGTGCTGTTTTATCATTTAGGCAATAGGTTATCAGATTTTGTCTTCTTCCCAACTACTTAATGTTAACCCTGACTTTACTGTCTCCCTTTACACACATCAAATACTAAACTCAGAATCATAATCACAGTTTGAGTTTTATTGCCACTGTCAGTGACCAAATTCACAAACTACAAGTGTCTCTCTATTCAATTTTGGGGAACATTTCTATCAATATGTAGAGGGCAGTCCAATGAATAAATTTTTTATTGAAATCGAGATCCAGCCATCTTTAATTGACAGTTGTATGCTAGTTGGTTTTTTTTTGTTTTTGTTTTTTTTAATAAAGAGGTAAACACAGCCAATCCTCTATCAGTTAAGACATGTGTTGTAAAATGGACTCATAGAAAGTTTGTAACTCATTATTAAAAGACATATTTATATGGTTGATCAGATAAAATACATTTTAATTGAAAATTGAAACTGACCAGTATGTGCAAAAAAAGGTGATTATTTTTATCCTTATCAGCTCTAAAACATATGACATTATAATAAGTGCCTGGTTCTTTCTTGAGATTGTTTTGTCCTTTCCTAAAGAAAGTCTTCTGTGAGCTATTAAAAGGCCATTCAGCGGGACGAGCTCATTTAGTGAATTAAAAGAGTAGTCTTGTTCTGCCCAAGCTGATAAGGAGTGTGTGGTAGAGCAGAATATTGATTAGATGTAATGTTACACCAATGGCTTGGGTTCTCTTGAGAAAAACACCACTTCTGAATTAACGTTTAGTTCGGCTTTTACAGCTCGTGTGCTTCTGCCAAGCTGAAATTTGACAAATGGCCGCCATGTGGTACGCCATTCCCCTGGTGAAGTATTTGTCGGAATGAGTCATAATGAAGTGAAAGAATTTGACTTTGGACAGTGGGAAATCCTTTCAATCAGAATTAAGTGGCCTCTTAAATCAGCAGTGTAGGCCTTGTGACAGCCTCCAGATAAACAGTAGAAAACAGACACTGTCCAATTTCTGCTAACAATTTATGTGAATTTATGAGTATTAAAGCTTAAAGAGCTCATATAACACTATTTTCTGATGTTATAATGTTGGTTCCTCATCACAAACATACCTGAAGATGTGTTTTGCTTAATTCACACATTTAACACACAAACTCAGCAAATTTAGTTTCTCTCCACCTTGTGATGTCATGTAGTAATACAGGAAGTGCACCACTGTGTTTTTAAACTCCATACTGCTTCACTAGAGTAGTATGGATGATTTCAGCCTTGAAATTGTCAATCCCTACT